TATCAAAAGCCTTCCTGAAGTCTAGGAAAACTATATCCACTGCCACCCCTGCATCCAATGATTTAGTGACCTGGTCGTAAAAGGCCACCAGGTTGATCTGACAGGACCTGCTGCTGATGAACCCGTGCTGGTTGCCCCTGAGCATGCAGTTCCCTGCTGGCCCCTCCTGGGGAATTCCTAACCTGTGACATGGTGGATTGAGCACTGTGCTGGGAAGTTAACAAGATATGTGTTTAAGCATCCTGTAGGTGAGGGGGACCTATAACCCAGGACTTTTCCTTTTTGGGCAAGTATCCTAACTGCTCTGCTATTAGGCCTGAAACATGGGAGGACCTTCCTTCCCCTCTGGACTTATGATCAGGTATGGGCTAGTGTGCAGTCTACTGTGCATACTTAGTCTACATGTGCAAGCTTGTATATCCACAGTACAGAGGCAGAGCAAAAAATGCCAAGGTGCATGGCTGAAAAACTGCTATTTAGGTGCACAAAGAGAAATAGAATTCTATCCTGAGAAAGGGCATTCAAATTTGGTGGTGACAGAGACAACTGCAAACTAAAAGGCTATTTCAACAAATTTAGACTTTTCCATGTATCGAAACTAAGTATTGGGGGGTCATTTTAATTCGAAGTCATTTTGGATTTGGGTAAATACAGTATGTGTCCTACTTCTCCAATGAAACCTCATTGTAACTGGGAAAGGATTCCATTCATTCAGAGTGAATGTTTTCATGTCATCTAAAACAAGGGTTCCCAAAATTTTTACGGGAACCACGGCCCAGCAGTCACAGCTGACCGCAGCCAGAATTTTTGGCCAGAAGACAGGTAAGAATACCCCCACCTGGTGGGGCGGGGAGCAAACCCTGTGCTGCTGTGGGCCCTGCGAAAGGAGCTGCAGCCTCTCCTCCCAACTCTGGGGACACCGCAGTTTGCCAGTCCACAGCCACTTCTGGTCCAGCAGCCAACCATGCTGTGGACCAGCAGCCAGCCCGCCACGGCCCAGCACCGAGCCGCAGCCCAAGGATTGAGAACGCCTGATCTAAAAGTTTACATTGTTTCTCCAATGCCATGGGAGATTTTGGATGTGCTAAAATAATTAGGATATCATTTTAAAGTACCAGTGTAGTCTTAACAGCTGGTGAAACTTCCTTCTTGTGGAATATCCTATCTTGAAATTTAAAAATGTGAAACATCATGAAATTTGAGTATCAATCCTTTTGAGAAAGATTATCATCTCTTAGCTTTAATTATACTGTTTTCAAAAGGAAATACTTATTGCCCATCAAATGCTTTTATAGTATCCATTACCAGATTAAAAAGTCATAAAATGTACTGCCAACTTTGAGTCAAATGTCAGAGTATTCTTTCATTCTGATATTTTTCAGTGTTAGTAGTTAATACATTATAAGTATATGTTTATGATGTTCAGCAATCCAGAGAACAAGGTATGGCAATTTTTCTAAACATAGTACACAATTTCTAGACAAGACTGACTTTTAGAACATTTGATAAGAAAATAGATATTGAAGCCAATTGTATACTCAAATAACTGTTCACACAATGACAATGCCAGTTTTTTTTTTAAGAACAAGCATTTCTAATAGGATGTACAGATCTTATGATGTTCCTAAAGACAGTCCAATAGCCATGTTGTATTCCTTGTAATGGAGGCACAAATCAGCCAACTGCAGGGGTTAATTCTTTATTAGGGGTACATATGAGTATTTTCTCCTTTGGAAAGTAGCTTAATGACTGTAACAGAACAAAGTATCCTATATTCAAATACTACAGTATATTGTACAGCTGTGAAAAGATGTCCAGGTGGC